CGGGCGAGACGGCTCAAGCGGTTAGAGCGTGAGTTTACTGACCGGAAGGTCCGTGGTTCAAATCCCACCTCTAGCTCTCGACTTCCCCTGTCTAGGTTTGGGCAATGTGAAAGTATCTCAGTCCTCGTGTTTCCTTCGGGTGACATGGCAGCTAGGCACTGAAAGGGTGTTACAGCTGAATTTGGACACCGTCAAAGGAAAATTATTCCACGCAGCTGCTACCCGAAATGGAAATAAATTCGCCTAATGTGTACTCTCGGAGCTTGAGAATTTTTTTTACTATGTCTCCACCGTGTGCTTGTTAGGTCAACGGGGAAAAACCTGTTTGCCAAGCTTTGTTCAAACACGGCATAAATAGGAAGTAGGTTGCCTTGGAGACGAAGATACTCCAAGAGAAAGAGGTTAAGCATCGTGGGACGCGCTTCGTAGTCCACGGACTTGAGGCCGGCAAACATTTTCGTAGCAGCTCGCTGGATACGCTCAATGAGGGTAACGTCTTGGTTGGCGTATTCAAAGAGCGGTCTGACCTAGGTCCCATATAGTATTTGGAAATCCATGGGATTATTACGGGAGAAGGTGTGCCGAAGCATCCGTAAAATGGTGAATACCTTTTGGGCCAATTTCTCATGATGCCGTGAGAATGACAAGTTTGAGGAGACCCAGATACCCAATTCCTTTTTGGCATCTATCCTCATGATATTTTTTGGACCTTTCTCGCCATGCATAACAAAGGCATTCACTGAGTCTCCTCCAAACAACATACAGACGCACTTTTCGTCATTCAGAGGAAGGTGCCAGTCCAACGACCACTGCTTTGCAGCGTCTACATTCATTTCCAGGGCATTGGCGTTGGAACTCCAAGTCGTTCACAAAAAGTAGATATGAACTTGCAAGAACATCGGGAAGGTCGTTGACGTATATCATAAACAGCGGTGGTCCAAAAGTGCAGCCTTGAGGAACTCCAATGGAGATCAGCGCTGGAGAATAGTAGGCAGAACCTACATTAATGGAAACGATCTGCCAGGTGGGAACGTCGTCAAACGGCTCGATCTTCTAGCCAATCGCATGCGCGTTCGGATTCTTGGCTGTTGCATCCACAGACTGATACACACCGCGCCTTGGATGCACAATACATTTATGTGCAAAATCCTTGA